AATATTTTTTCAGGTGTAGCTCGAATTTATTTTCAACTAAAACAGTGAATACTTCCCATAAAGTTTTTAAATGAGAATCCGTCCTTACGCTGGCTATCAATATATCGTCCATGTATATGACTATGTCGCTTGCTTGCACAAGATCCAACATTACCTCGTTTATAAATCTTTGAAACCTTTGGGGGCCAATTTTTAAATGGTATTCTGATATACTCAAATTGCCCCAACGGAGTTACAAATGAAGTATACTTAATAGAATCAGGCGACATAGCCATGTGCTAGAACCACTTATACACAATTGGTCCCCGGCACCACAAAAAACCAGCCCCATCACTTCTATCCCCATCAAGCAGATACCTACTGCCACCGAATCGGCCGACTTTGCCGCTGCGCGAGAGCGAGCAAGACAGCGAGAGAGAGCACCGGTCCTTCTCGCTCTACTAGTAACTTGTAACACAAATGAGTAATAGAGCAAAAAAGACGAGCGCTCTCTCTCGCTGTCTCGCTTCCTCTACTAGTCGCTTGTTATAAGCGACCGAAAACTTAAAATGTGCTTTCTCGGCCACTCGGCGTGTTCTTGTATAAAGGAAAAAGAGACATACATACATGCTAGATAACAATAGATTTTAATAAATTTTAATAATCATATAATCCTCCCATTAATAGCAAAAATGATTTTAACGTTAAAAAAAATCAAAACGTGACGTTTTTCATGATATCTTTCCAGTGCACATATAATATTTTCTTTGATATACGCTTGTGTTGATATCTTGATATTTTTTTTTTAAATTTGAAAATTGGCACTTTACAGTTTGTTGCGCGATTCTGACCAAGAATCGGCTTGTAGCCAAAACGGACATCGTCGCGCCACCTAAGTGTACGCGATCGCACCGCGCTCCGTTGTATCAGTCACACACTTTTCGAGTCTGAATTAAGGCGGCTTGGAAAATTCAAACTTCGCGGATTTCTCCCGGAATTAGTTATCAATCAAAGCCAACTGCGGCGCAATTGTTCAAGGTCCGGGAGAAGTCTGGGAAGATTTCCGGTAGCGTCAGTCTCACACGTGCTACGATAACTTCGCCAACACGCGTGCCTCGCTCTCGGCAATCTTGTTTCTGTACACGTGCACGGCTTTTCGGCGAAATCATAAAATGTACTGCGCGTCGAATTAGAGTTCAACTGTTGTTCGGCCCGGCATAATGTATTTCTTGTTGAAAATGTACCACAGGCAATAAAGTAGTACTTGTCTGCGTGGAGTTTTGGCAACGCGCGCTTTTTATTTTGTTGTTCACCCACGATCCTGAACCTTCAGCTAGTGCTGCATTTACACAATATTGATGCGTGTCGTGCAGCATGCCCACAATGGCGATCCTGCCAGGATCCAGGTGAGATAAAAGTGGACCAGAATTTTGGAAAAAATCTATATAGACTGATTAAAAGGACAAACTGTTAAGTTGAACATTTCTGGACGGAAGTGACCGGGAATGCCGGAATAAGTGCGATTCAAAATTTGAAAAATCGCTCGCGCGCATAAAAAGCAGTGCGCGCCTCCGCATATGATTTACGCCCGTAAGCGTTTCGGTCGATTTCGTCAATCGCCGGCGGTACCCGAATAACTAATTCGCGTACACAGCTTGCGTGACGTCACGAGTTCCGCGCTCCGATAGCCGCACACAATCTCCATTTGTGTGAGCTCCGACATGCCTCAGCACCGTGTTATTGGCCGTGAAATACGTGCCCGCACACGTGACGTTACTTTGGGACTCTCTTCGTCCGTGCTTCGTTACCTGTAGCAACCGCCGCTCCCCGCTCGACCTGTTGGCTAGCTCCGACACGCCTCAACACCGTGTTATTGGCCGTGAAATACGTGCCCCTCACCGGGCGCCCCGCTCTCGCATCACCAAGCTTTCAGGCTCGACGCTCCAAATGCGAAGCCTGCACTGAATTTCACACAGTTCGCAGGCGAAGCTTTTGAATTGATAGAGCCAGTTAGAATTTCGGCAACTACTGTTTCCGAGCTGTGCGAAAATGCCGAAAAACCGAAGCCATACAGATGCTTCTGAGGAGTACCATGAGTTCATACAGCTTGTGGCTCAGCAGAATAAGGTGCTGCAATCCCTAAAAAGAGCAGCTGCCTTGCTCGATTCGCCCGACGTGACCCTCGAGCAAGCACAGGCTCGACGGGACTTTATTGACGGACGGTGGAAGGACCTGTCAGCTCGCGATGAACAGCTGACCATGTATGAAGCATTGCCGTCTTGCGCAACCGAAGCCTATTTCACTGAGGACTTCCTTGGCACGTGTGAGGAACTCTACCTCACAACGTACGCAGGCCTGTCCGCATACATACACGCTGCTATGCCACGGATGTCACCGGCATCGTCGAACACGGAACCAGATGCTGCCATCTCCGAAGCTCATCAACGTCGTACGCAAGTACCGAAGATTAAGCTACCGCACTTTTCCGGCAATTTCATAGGTTGGATAGAATTCCGTGATCATTTCCAGGCACTCATTCTTAATGACGCTTCTTTTGACTCATTTCATCGTCTTTATTATCTGAAATCATGCCTTGAAGGAGAAGCCGCGGCTTTGTTAAAAAACTTGTCGATTACCGCGGATAATTTTGAAGTCGCCTGGAAGATGCTCACGGAACGCTATGAAAATAAACGCCGTTTATTGTCGATTCTTTTAAATGAGCTCTTTGGTCTCAAACCCGTTTCTCGCGAAGGGTCTCCAGGAGAATTGCGGAAATTATTAGATTCGGCCCAGGAATGTCTCGACGCGCTCGCGAAACTTGGCCGTCCTATCAGTGATGATATAAGCGTGCATATCGTCACTCAGCGTCTTGATCGCGACACTCGAGAAGCCTGGGAATTTTCGCTTGAGGGTGATGGTTTCGCGACCTTTGATGAGTTGGAACGGTTTTTGAAATTAAAAATCAGATCTCTCGAAGCCGCAACAGCGGGAAACAAAATCACTCGATCCTCAGCATCACAACCTCGAACGAAAGCGACGGCTAACCCTAGCCCTGCTGCGTCGGCTCATCACGCGAGTCCAAAAAAATCGTCGAATAATTGTAATGTACAATGCACGTTGTGTAATAATACACATCCGACGTACAAATGCGCGCAATTTACTAGTAAACCGGTGTCTCAACGTTGGGAAGTCGCTCGAGAGCACACGTTATGTTTTAACTGCTTGTCGGCTCGTCATACTAGCGACGGGTGCCCAAGCACTCGCACCTGTTCACATTGTCACGAGCGTCATCATACTCTTTTGCATTCACCACCGCGTAAAAAGACTAGTACCGACGCAGGAACCAGTGCGTCAACCAGTGGTGGTCCATTGGTTGATGCGAATTTAATTCAATCACATTTAAGCACTCTTCAAGTGCCAACCCATATCATCCTGACTACTGCGTGGGTGTTAGTCACCGCTGCGTCGCATCGGGTCGTAAAGTTGCGAGCGTTGCTCGACCCAGGTTCAACGCACACTTTCATTTCGAGAGTTGCAGCGACCGAATTACGGACGAAAACGTACCCGACGTCAATGCGAATGAATGGCATAGGTCTTAACAGACCATCGACAGTTAGTCAGGTAGTACCGATTTCTGTTAGTGCAGTAGGCAGCAATGAGGTCGCACTATCAACCGAAGCGCTAGTTCTTGACAACCTGACGTCGTACGTACCGAGATTTCGGTATCCGGTTTCACATTGGCCGCATCTCAAAGGTCTCGAACTGTCGGATCGAAACCCGACGGACGATACGCCTATTCATTTGGTGATCGGCGCGGATTTGTACGCGTATGAGCTTCGGGATGGACTTATTCGCGGCCGACGAGACGAGCCGGTGGCCTTGAACACCATCTTCGGGTGGGTCCTGTCTAGGATGAGCAATACAGAGGGTAGACAGGGCGAAGAACCTCGCGTTCAAGTGCACCACGTGCACATACAAGACGATGACCTCCACTCATCCCTTACTCGATTTTGGGAGACCGAGGAAATCCCTGCAAGTCGTATGGTCTCAAAGGACGACGCTATATGTGAGCGTCATTTTAAAGAGACACATTCGCGCACTGCCGACGGTCGGTATGTAGTACGATTGCCGCTTCGCGCCGCGCCCGCGCTAACGCTTGGCAACACCTATCGACGCGCCTTACAGTGCCTGCAGTCAATTGAACGACGACTCGCATCTCGGCCCTCAGAACGTACCGCTTATACCGACTTCATGCGTGAGTACGAATCACTCGGTCATATGCGGATTGCAACCGCACGTCCGGATGACGCGTCTGTAGTTTACTTACCTCGTCATCCGATTGTGAAGACATCGAGTACGACTACAAAGACCCGTATTGTTTTTAACGCGTCCGCGATTTCCGCCTCCGGCAAATCACTCAACGATTTGCAATACATCGGCCCCAAGTTGCAGGCCGATTTATCCCTTATGCATCTCCAATGGCGCACGTATAAATTTGTATACACTGCCGACATCGAGAAGATGTATAGGCAAATCTTGATTAGTCCACACGACGTCGATCTACAACGGATTTTATGGCGTCATACCCCCTCAGCGGCCATATCCGAGTATCAGCTGTTGACTGTTACGTACGGTACAGCTAGTGCGCCATTTTTAGCACTGCGCGTCTTACAGCAGTTAGTCACAGATGAAGGTCATGGGTTCCCCCGTGGGAAGGATGTCGTTCGGTCGCATATGTTTGTCGACGATGTGCTGTTTGGAGCGGATACAATCGAAGAGGCAATTGCCATCAGAATTGAAACGACCGCTTTGCTGAACAAAGGCCATTTCACGCTTCGCAAATGGTCCAGCAATTCGATCACGTTGCTCTCCGATATCGATCCGTCCAATCACGGTTTATCGTGTGACAAAGCTTTGCAGGATGACGACAGCTTGAAGATCCTCGGTATTGCCTGGAGACCCACTGACGACTCATACTGCTTCACTCTGAACCTCTCGCCTCTTTCGTCACAAAACGAGTGATGTTGTCCCAAATAGCTCGTATCTTTGACCCACTCGGGTGGCTTGCACCAGTCATAGTCATCGCTAAACATCTGATACAGCTACTTTGGTCGTGCAACGTGCATTGGGATGCACCTGTGCCTGCGGATCTGCAATCTGCATGGGAAGCGTTTTATATCACCCTCCCATCGCTGGCAGATATATCAATACCGCGCTGGCTCGAAATATCGCCGTCTAATCGTATTGAGCTCCACGGATTCTCAGATGCTTCCATGAAAGCGTACGCGGCGGTTATGTACGTCCGCACAGAATCACCGTCGGGTGTGGTCTCGGTCCACTTACTGACGGCAAAGACACGAATTGCTCCCGTGAAGCAGCTCACGATTCCTCGCCTTGAGTTATGTGGAGCTGTAATTTTAGCCCGATTAGCCACTCAGGTTCGGTCCATACCCATCTTCACAAATTGTCCACTCCAATGTTGGACCGACGCGACTATCGTGCTCGCCTGGCTTAGAGGACAACCCAACGACTGGAAGACGTTCGTCGCCAATCGCGTCGCCGAGGTACAAACCTCGCTTCCCAAGGTTTCGTGGCGTCATGTACCCGGAGCGGACAATCCTGCTGATGTAGCGTCCCGGGGTGTGTCTGCTTCTGAACTCGCATCGTCCCATACATGGTGGCATGGTCCATCCTGGTTATCCTTCGGCCCATCGAGTTGGCCCTCCGTTGATCCAACCCTGGACGATGGTGCGCCCTTAGAGCGAAAGTCAAACGTCCATCACGCGAACGTTCAACTAAACGGCGACCATCAACCTTTTCAATGCTTTTCAAGTTGGCCACGCATGTGTCGGGTTCTTGCCATCTGCCTGCGGTTTTCCGCACACTGGAGGTCCACAGTCAGGGGCCAACCGCGCATCCAAGAGCTTACTTGCGTTGCCAATCGTATTTTTTGCCTTTGCCAGGCTACCCCGTTTTGCCGGGAGGTGGCGTTACTAAAGAAAAACCCGAAAACCGACGATGGGTCACGCTTCCTGCAACGTGACCAAGCCCTGCCTAAGAGTAGTCCACTGCGTCGGCTCAACCCGTTCTTGGACGCTGACGGGTTACTAAGGGTAGGTGGACGCTTATCATTGTCTCATATGGCATATGCTGCGAAATTTCCTATAATTTTGCTTCGCGGACATGTTGCCGTCCTTCTCGCGCGGCATGCTCATGAAAGATGCCTTCACGGTGGCATCACTTTAACTTTAAGCACGTTACGTACGCACATTTGGGTTTTACAAGGTCGCAAATTAGTGAAATCGGTGGTCGCCCACTGCGTACCATGCGCTCGACAACTCGGGAGGGTCCCCGCTCAGATGATGGGTTCACTGCCGTCGGCTCGCATAAATCGTCCGT